ACGGAGCAAAGATACCTGCCGAGCCCTGCGGCAGGTTTGGCTGGGGACCGAAGGGAAGGTAGGCGGGAGAAGTTCAAACGGAGCTCTGTCCTCCCAGAAGACCCGCTCCTGCTTCCTAGTTCCCAACTCCTCTGCGCTTATCTTTGAGGGAGACTTTTAGTACAATACATGTGTTGCCTTTTTTTTTTTTTTTTAATTTTAAGCAGTAACAAGTCTGACAACGCCGTGTGTCTGTCAGGCGTAGAGTAAGAAAAGCCAGGGCAAAGCATTGTGAAAATAACTCCCCTCCCCAAATCTTTGAAGCCGGCAAGAAAAAAACATTTAAATTTTTTTTTTCCAGGCCGGTTTTCAGCTCAAAGTTATGTAACATGTTAAATGCATTACAAAATGTAAATTCGATCTGGAGCAACAGTGAATTGCTTATTACTGTTTGTTTTGCAGCTCTAAGAAGTCATAGAAGATCTGAAACAGATTCAAAGCACCTGCATAAAATGTACGCTGTGTAGTTCAGCTATAGCTACAGCGCTGGCTGATGAATGTGGATTTTGTTAATGTTTAAGACAGCATTATGCGTAAGTTCTTAAGAACAGCGACAATTATTTTAGCTAATGAAGCTGTTTTTAAGTAGCCTTCATACATTCCTTCTTTACGAAGCAAAGTCGCAAATAAATCAGACTGGCTTATATCATTTGTATAAAGTGTTAGGGGTAAATCAGAATAGAAAAACAATTCTGTGTAAAGCTGATAGATGACATAAAATAAGGAATTCTAGGGAGGAAGCGAACAGAGCCTGAGTATCCTCTGTTTCCGACTGTTCAAGTAGTAGTGAGCACTATATGAAATTATCAAAAAGCAGAATTAAACCACAAGCAACACTTTTTCAAGAAAGCAGATGAATTGCCAGGGGATGTTGTGAAATCCATAACACTGAGATGATGAGAAAAGCAATGAGGCACAGCACTAATTCTGGCACAGCGCTAGTTCTGCTGCTGCTGTTAGCACCCTTCTGCACAGGTACAGGAGAGCAATGCTCTCTTTAGTTTGGACTAGCTGATTTTCGAGGCCTCATTCCTTGGATGCTCCATAACTGCCTCATTCTGTGTTCAAGAATAAGTTCATCGCTTGAGTCCTACAACTTGTGACTTCAGTAACTTAAACCAATGTGTTGGTCAGACTAGCTCAATGCGTTGGGCTGATTTTCACCAGACGGTTCCTACTTAAAAGCCCAAGGAACTGTTTGAACATATGAGCAGAAATTCGAGCCAATGAGCTCAGTAATGTCCTCTGGAATAGAGAGATAGCCACTGGGCCATTTTGCCTGATCTACTGGCAAACCACAGCCACCAGAAAAGTTTATCCCGCATAAGCACAGTTTGTTCCCAGAAACCTTAATGGTCCCTTGGAGGTGAGCATGCACGCTAGGGCAAAATGATTGCACTTTTTATGGTGGGTGCACACTTGGCCATGCAAGTGGCACGTACACCCCGTGGTGTGAAGAGTGCACAACCAGTCGCATGTGAGCACGGGCTGGCAATGTACAGGGTGCCGGACTGGCTGTTTAACGGCCCACGTCAACAGGTAGGGTGAGCGCCTGTGACTGAGACCCTACTGTCATACCCCTGTAGAGGAAGGTTATGCTGTGCCAGTGACCCTACATCAAACGCTCTTTTGAGTTGTACAAAGTTTTAGCCAGCAAAGACATTCAGAAACAGACTTAGTTTGAAGCCAGATGGCCCTTTTTTCTGACACTGGGATATATTTGGCAAATACTGTGTAGAATTTCCAAGTTGCTTTTGAATGTACACACACACACAAACATATGCGTGTGTGTTTGTGTATATGTGTATGTATAGCCAACTGTAGCCTTTCGGTTGTGTGTGCTGCGATTCATCAGCGGTAATAGTTTTTGGCAGGGACATAATTTCAAATCTTCTGCTGAGGATGCCTGCCAAAACATTGTTGGACAGAGCTAGGATGAAGAAAGTTATTTATAAATGTGGATAATTAGGTCCTGTGCTTATTAGCGCTGGGGGTGAGACAGAAAGCCGGCATGTGTAGTAATGAATATTTGTAATATGAGAAGATGCTCTCCATGAGACCCATCAGTCGCACAGTAGCTGATGTTACACAGTGATGTTTCATCCCTTTGCCATGAGAAATACGCACGCTCCCGCTCGGCTCCCCTAGCGTTCCGGGCCCGGCGGCACCATGTGAAACCCGGCCACGCAAGGACGGAGGAGAGGAGCCTGCGCTCAGCCCGTCCCCGCGGCACTGGGGCACTGCTCAGCCCGGGCTTGTCGCACAGCGGGCCAAGAGAACAGCAATTAATAGTCCAGTGTTCCCAGTCCCTAGTTTTATACCAGGCTTACTAGATGACGCAACTAAAGTGTAGTAAGACACTTAAGCACATAGCTGTGTTTAAACAGTTGAATACCCTATTCATTCTTAATTCCCAAGCTGTTTTTACAGATCTCACAGCACTCGGTGTTTTTCTTACGGCCCCAAGCTCCTGAAGTCTCAAGTAGCCGCTTGTTCATAGGGTTTCTGAGTGGAGTGAGGCTATAAAAGAAAAGTCTTCAGCAATACAGAGAAAAGCTTGAAATACAGTCCAAGTACATCTAAAAATGTCACTCCCTCCAAAAACACCAAAACCTGGAAAAAAGAAGTGTCAATAGGAAGGAAACTCACTTTTCTTCTGAAAAACGTGGGTTTGTGGGTTTTTTCGGTAATCACTAATGCTGCACGATACTGACAATCTGCATTGACTTTGGCAGGACTATCCATACGTGTGAAGGTGGGCGCCTGCTGAGCAAGTACGCTGCTCTGTCTGGGCCTTGGTCTCTTGGAAGCGAGGGGTGGCGTTTGGAAAGCTTGTCTGGCTAAATTCGGTCTGCAGCTGCTCTCGCTGCAGCGTCGCCAGCAGAGAATGTCATACATGTGGCTGACTATTTCGCAGGTTCTCCAGGCTCATAATTAACTACTTAATTAATCACGTCACTAAAAAAAAATTTCATCCCCAGGCTTTGCCCACAGAGTCTCAGTGCCGCTTGTATGTGAAAACAATGCATTTAAATGCTCGTTTCCAAAAGAGGAACAACAGGATTTGACAGCCTGTGGCAAATGCATCCCTAGGGTGATTTTTGTGAAGTAAAGCAGAGAAGATCTGGACCAGCTCTGAGCAGAGAGGTAGGAAAGAATGTGCGCTTGGGGGGGGACGGCAATCTTGCTTTTGTTTTTTTTGTAAAGCATTTCA